CCCCATACCAAAATTCATGCCATAATATTAAAGTATGGATGAAATGTTTAACAATTATTGCAATATTCCAGATCAATGGTATAGATTGGATTAAACAATTTCGACAAGCGCTGTCGGCGATCAAATGAATAATTTATATAACCCCGTCTCGTATTAAAACACGAAATCCTTACAAATAATACTCTGAAATCGTTAGCTTTGTTGGCTATCCAACATTTATCACAATAAATCCACCAAAAACTGTATAAAGATTTTGATATACGTGATATACACCTCACTTCAACGGTCGACATAACGACGCAAATCATCCACAGGGCGAAAAACTATACAACTACACAGATTAATAGTTCAAAATGCTAAATAATTGTTATATAAAAAACTTTTTAACGAACAATAAAATCTTTTACAATAACGATGACAAACTGTGACCCATAGACATCTAAATCTATCCTCACTTTAAAGTCAAATGAACAAGAAAAATAAGAAGTTTGGGGTACATTCCAGCACCCATCGTCACGGGGGACTGAAGTGACAGATGTCCCGATGTCAGTGTTAATCCAGAGTATCTTCAGTTTTCAATTTTTTTTTGGTCCGATCCCCGTAGAACGAACTTTCTGTGTCTTGAAGTCTTGCAGTGCTATGTTTGGATTTAGTTTTAATTTTGTTAATTACAGGAACCCAATCAGGTAGAACCTCAACCTCCTTTTCTATAAAAATTGGGATGTTTTTTTAATTTCAATAGCTTCACGTATCATTCTTGGTAGGAATCGATGTTCTTTCGCGGGGGTTTTTGGTCTATAAAATCTGATGTAATGGCAGGGGCCGTCTAGGATAATATGATCACAAACTTCAAACTTCCCGAAACGTTGGTGCTTTACGCCATCTATATGTTCTTATACGCGGGTTCTATTTGATTTTTATGTTTGCCTTATACATGAAAGACCATAATATTCAAATTAATAGAATCAGGCGTTCCTTTGCGGAAATCCATTACAATAAAGACACTAATTAATTCGCAACTATCCGTTTAAAATACAATGATGTGTCTTATCTGGATTGAAGAGCGCCTCTCACTCTCCCTAAATTGCGTGCACTAATTCTGTCACCACTGATCCCATTACCACTACTCCCAATACCACTACTCCCAACACCACTATTCCAGGAAAGAAACACCATCGACGACAATACGACATGTGTTTTGTCTCTACACGAGGCATCTTCAGGTGATGTAGACTCTACGGCAGCAACGGCTCGCCGCTCACTTAGCGGCCAGCTGCCATAGAGTGATGAAGTTGTGAAGTTAGAGAAAATAAGGAATTATTTGCCTCTAACTTCTAGACGCGGAGCTGGTGACAGGTGACGTTCCACGATTTTGTCGTGCATGCCTTTTTAAGGCTTGATAACTAACCCTAAAATATCAAAGATTGTCGGGGCTTTAGCCTTCCCGCGCGTCCTCTTCATAAGGAAAATTGCTTTTCCTTGTGTAGCGAATTTTTGTGTTTTTCTGTGATAGTATACTGCATGCCCTTGTAATATACGGAAGTTCAAGCAAATTGAAGCTCTAATAATTGATAGCATGTACATGCTATCAATGCTATCAATTATTCGGGCGGCGACCCAAGATGATCAAAGGAGGGAGATGAGAGATGAAAAATAATTTAGTGTGTATAGTACGATATATGGGTGTGGAAAAATTGACAAGTCCAAGTAAATGCGAATTATCTAGGCACCCGTGAATGAGATCATATAATGTCATTTGATCAAGCAATTTTCTTCTGTCTGCTAATGAAAGGAATTTATATACATCTTTCTTTGTATGTTTGATGTTGTTCTTTAATTTTGTAGTCCATAAACTTCAAAAATTTTTTTTAAATACTTCTATTTTGTTAATATACGTATAGTATTGTGGACACCATATGTTGCTACCATACTCTAATATACTGCGAACGTAGGCATAATATAATACTTTAATACAGGGTAAGTTATTGAAAGGTTGGCATGTACGTATTAAGAAGCCTAAGTTTCTATATGCTTTATTTGTAATGTAGTCAATATACAATTACTAAATGTAAGCTTGGAATCCAATAAGATACCAAGATCTCGGATTATCTCTGTTTTTTGAATTATTGATCCGTTCAATTTGTATGCATATTCAACCGGTTTAGTTTTGCGTGTAAATGTGCAAGTTTGACATTTCTTGACATTAACTGTGATTCGATTATATTTGTAATAATGGTCCAACCTGTTTAAATCTTCTTGAAGCTTATGGCAATCATTTAAATTGTTAATTTTAATAAATATTTTTTTGTCATCTGCATACAGCAAGAATGAGGAGTGTTTAAAGCATGTATATAATATATCATATAGATAGGTGTTATACAGGAGGGGCCCTAAGTAAGTCCCTTGTGGCACACCAGATGTAATTTTTAAAAAATTTGATCTGTGTCATCCTACAACTACTGCTTGGGAACGATTTTTTTAGGTAAGACTCAATCCATCGCAAAAGGTCCCCGTGTATTCCTAGTATTTTTAACTTACGAAGCAAGATGACGTGATCCACGCGGTCGAAGGCTTTTTCGAAATCCGTGTAGATCACGTCAACCTGCCCCCCGCCATCCATATGATTGAAAGTCTCTGTGATAAAATGTGTTAGGTTACTAAGAGTTGATCTGCCTTTGAGGAAACCATGCTGAGATTCTGGTAAACCTCGACTTAAGGTCGGGTAAATGTAATTAAATACTAATTTTTCGAATATTTTCGCGAATATATTAAGTATAGATATAGTTCTATAATTTTCAACTTTAGTACGGATTCCTTTTTTTAAATATGGGTACTACATGAGCTTTTTTCCAGATGTATGGGAAATAACCTTCCTGAAGAGATCTATTGAATAAAATGTGAAGAGGCTCAGACAATGACTTAGCATATTTGAATATAAATATAGGTGGGATTTTGTCACTACCCGGTCCTTTTTTTACATCTACTTTCTGTAGCGCTTTAAAAACATCTGCCTTGGAAACCCGAAAGCAAGGTAAATGTCGGTCGTTTCTACTAGAAGATATAGGTAATGCAACATCAGGATATGAAGGAGCAGGCGGGATAAAAACACTTTTGAAAAATGAACTGAAGACTTCTACAATTGCTGGACCTTCGCTATGCATTGTATTTTTATACGACATTTTATTTGGATAAGAATAAGTATTACCACGTTTTGATTTGATAAAAGTTCAGAAACATTTAGGGTTATTCAGTATGGCTTGTTGAGTAGTATCCAAATAATTACTATAACATTGTTTATTATAAACTGACGCACGCTTACGTAATAAAGAGAACATATTGTAATCCGCTAAGTTATGTAATTTTTTACAATTTCTGTGAGCCTTAGCTTTTTCTTTTAAGATATTAATCAATGTTTTATTACACCACGGGGCCTTTTCGTGTTGTGAGGTAGAGATATTACACTTGGTACATATTTGTCTATGCAATAATTGAGTTGTTTGTAAAAGAAATCTACAGCTTCTTCAACATGTCCAGTGTATAAATGAGTGGCCCAGTCGATTTCACATAAATATGTGTTTATTTGAACAAAATCAGCTGAATAAAACTTATTTTTCTTAATAAAAGAGCATTTGAGACGAGGAATAGCCACATTTAAGTCAAATTCGAAGGGAGGATGAAATATATCTATCTTAGTTAAGGGTTTGTCACATTATATTATTTCTATGTCTATATTAGAGAAAATTAAATCTAATGTGTTATTGCAACTGTTTTTTATATTGGAGTATTGTCGGAAACCATGGTAGGCTAGTTCGTTTATTAATTGCTCCGCTATAGTTAGTAGCTCGGTAGGACCCTGTCTTAGTATTGTAGGTCCACTCTCATTCCAGTGTATATTAGATAAATTAAAATCACTTGTAATTACATAAAAGTCGCGCGAGATAATTCTACTACTAAACGATTCCAAGAACGATTTAATATCTTTTGCGTGCATTTCGTCCGTACGACGATGCTTTGACGATTTACCCGGTATATAAGTAGTTATGATATGCAGTTTTTGTCCAAGCGTGGTGTGAGAGGCATGGCGCGAGGGAACGTGTGCGCTTCGTGTTGTGAACGTATGACTCAGTACTGGTATTGTTTTTCAAAGCGTCTCGATAGAAGCGCACGGCTGTTTCCACAAATCGTCCATAGGCGCATTAAGTGTACGACGAATTATGATTGCCACACCTCCACCTGATGATTTGCTTGTTTCCGTTAGTATACGATCCTGTCTGTACACAATATACCGATTATCACAGATCTCCGCATCCAAGATACCATCGTGAAACCAGGTTTCTGTTAAAATAATGATGTCGTAATCATTATTTAATATTTCTAGATAAAGCGTATGAAGTTTTGTACGTAATCCCCGTGCATTTTGATAATAGACAGATATTGGTGTCTTACCTATTGTGTAAATTATCATTTTGCCTTGTTATTTTAACATATAATAAATAAAATAAATAATAGATTTTAAACATAGTTAACTCACTAATGCATATAAATACTTTATTTCAACTTTTTTAAGTCCAATTCTGAATTGACAATAATGTGTGGTGACGTATCGTTTCGACGAACATATATTTTGCAGTTTTTTATCCAGATGTACCTATAGCCTAGCTCGGTAGCTATTTCTCGACACTTTTTATACAACCTCTTGTTATCAAGAGTTAAATGCATGTTAACAAATATTTTCTTGAGTTCACCTCCGTGCCCAAGATCTTCAGTAGTGATGCCATGATGTTTTTTGACGCCAGCAATGAGATTATCCTTATGAATACGGGAGGACATTTTTATAATAATATTGCGGGATCGACCTTTAACGAGATCTTTCGATTGCACTCTTGTGCAGCTTTCTATATCGCCGGCGCTCAACATAACACCTGCTTTTTCTGCTATGCTTAATACTATATTTGTTACATTTTCATTTTTAATTTCTGGTGCTCCCACCACATCTACATTTAACACTGCTCTTGTTTTTGGGTTTTGAAGGAAAGCCTGTCTAATATCACTTGCATTTTGGTAATTTCACGACACTGAATCTTAAGTTTTTCTTCTGAACAATTTGCACGTTCCTGTGGGGTATCGATGCGCTTGGTTGAGAATTCCAAGGAGGCTTGCATTTCGGTAATTGTGTTTGCCATAGCCTGTTGAGCTGAGTGTATAGAAGTTAAAGTATCCTTAATAGTTACTTGATCCTGAGAAAGAATATCTGAAATTTGTTTTAGATTACTTAGTTGTTCCTTTAATGACGATACTTCATCATGTATTTTTTTAATATTCTCCTCTTGCGAAGTTTTGAATTCAGTAAGAAAGGACATTATCTCTTTCCTAAAATCATTTAATTCGAATTTCATTGCTTCTTCTGGTTGTTTTCTTTTTGATCTTTGGAGGGTAATATTACGTTGCTGTGTAACCTCGGTATCGCATTTTGCATTATCGGGCTGGGAACTAACAAGACCAACTTTGGTCGCAGGCGGAGATTTTTGCGGGTTCATTATGTATCGCAAACCAGTATTATTAGACCTGTGATGCAGTTATGTCGAGCGTAAAGTGAGACAAAAAATTTAAGAGCCCGTGCCCTTTACTCGAGGGTACCAGCTTTACAGCAGCAAGTAGCCGAATATGTACCCTCCTTGCTTTCCGAACAAAACGAGTTTTTGACAAAGTATTAGGACAAAATTTAATCTGGAAATGGTGCACTTTTCTTTTTAAATGCCCCTGGAGGAACCGGGAAGAAATTTTTGTTAAATTTATTATTAGCGAAAGTACCGAAAGATAAAAACATTACTGTGGCCGTAGCTTCCTCCGGTATAGCCGCCACGCTGCTAAGCGGGGGCCGCACTGTACATTCTGTTTTAAAAATCTCTCTAAATCTAGCCCTGGAAGAATCGCCGATCTGCAACTTTAGCAAAAATAGTGCACGAGGTGTAATGCTACGACAATGCAAACTTTTAGTGTGGGACGAATGTACAATGTCGCATAAAAAAGCTGTAGAAACACTAAATCGAACGCTCCAGGATTTGCGCAGCAATACCGATGTAATGGGAGGAATGGTGGTTTTAGTGGCTGGTAACTTTCGCCAAACTTTACCAGTCATTCAAAAAGGTACACCTGCAGATGAAGTTAAAGCATGCCTCGAGTCGTCATTTTATGGAACAAGATGACAAAATTCAGTTCAACTACGAATATGAGAGTGCATTTGTATAATGATATCAATGCTGGAAACTATGCTATGCACTATTAAAATTGGCGATGGGCGGTTGGGAACAGATGCTGAGGGCTGCGTTAAATTGACTCAAGATTTTTGTAATTTAGTACAGTCATTCCGAAATAATTGCGAGCGTTTATTTCGGAATTCTTATTTCTTCTTTATTCAGATTTCACGAACAACATGCATGAAGACAAATGGTTATATATATGGGTAAATGAGAGCGTTAACAAAATAAATTCAGATATATTAAGTGAAGTAGTAGGAGAAATAACAGAGTAATTATCAGTAGACACAGTTATGGACACAGAACAGAGCACTCCATATCCCGTAGAGTTTCTAAATTCTCTAGAGTTGTCAGATGTGCCCTCACATAAGCTTCAATTAAAATTAGGCGTCCCAGTCATGCTAATGCGAAATGTGGATGCTCCTCGATTATGTAACGGGACAAGGCTTCGTGTGACACATCTTGGACGGAACATAATCGGTGCTACAATTTTGACAGGCGTAGGAAAAAGTGAAAAAGTTATTATACCACGAATCCCTATAATTCCCACAGATCTTCCTTTTCAATTCAAAAGGTTGCATTTCCCTATTAAGCTCAGTTTTGCAATTACAATTAATAAAGCGCAAGGGAAAACGTTACAGGTAGCGGGGATCAACTTAGAAAAACTTAAAACTTACTTAAAAAAATAAGCACAATACACGGCAAACAAAATAGGTCCTAGGATAGATCCCTGCGGAACGCCTTGTTTGACAGCCTGAGCGTTCGAAATTACTGATAACCCATTTTCGTCTGATATTTCTACTTGCTGTATACGATGCTCGAAATAACTTTCGAACCATTTTATCGCAGATATGTCGAAACCGTAATAATGTAATTTAGACAAAAGCAATGGCACATTAAGACAGTCGAATGCTCTGGAAAAGTCTAGCAAGGATAAAATCGTTCCTTTGCCACTGTCTATATCTGATAGTATATCGTCGACAACATTTATCATAGCGGTTGACGTACTGTGGTGTTTTCTAAACCCTGACTGAAGACTGGGAAACACATCTTTAGTTTCTAAGTATATTCTAACCTGCTCAGCCATGACTTTCTCCAAGATTTTTGATACACAGGGGAGTATACTAATCGGGCGTATGTCCTTCATGCTAATAGGATTTGAGTTTTTGGGTATAGGCCTGATGAGTGCGTGCTGCCATTCTGAGGGATATGTTTGCTTTGTTATTGATTTATTAATTATCTCCGTAATAACAGGTATTGTTACGGGAAAAGACATTTTCAACATATCCAAGGAAATACCGTCTGCACCTACCGCATTTGACTTTAACGACTGTGTTATTTTCACAATATCACTTTTCTCAATTGTCTTCAGTTTGAATACATTTGAGACTTTGACGTGTGATTTAAAGAATGTCATATATGAAATAGGAACTTGATTATTTCCGGGCACATTTAAAAAGCTTGTATTAATCAAATCGGGGTCGTTGAAAATATGGTGAGGCAGGTCCAGCTTAGTTTTTAACCTAACGTTTGTTTATATGTGATGCGATGCGATGCGAGTATCTTTTTGATTATTTATAAAAAATTGTAGTAAGCTTTCTTTTCTTTTATTAATGCTTTTGCAACATAGTGTTTGAGCTCTTTATAAAGTAATTTTTGGGCTGCTGTACCACCTGACTTACGTGCGACAACACCTGCTTCATAATTTATACTTTCATAATTTTTTTATATTATAAGTAATCCAAGGATATTGGAAGTGTTTTAATGATTTTCTACGTACGGGCGCATGTATGTTAAATAATGTTTTCAACATAGTATTAAACAATGATACCATGTCATTGACGCTATCCAATGTTTTGAAACGTGTTCAATTTAAAGACTTTAAATCTAATAGGAACTGTTCATTATCAATCGCATGCAAATTTCTACGCGATATAATAATCGGTTTCGGTTTTTTTATATTTAATTCGCAGCAAATAAATGCATGACCGCTTAGTTCCGGTACATGATTCACAGAAGTGAATGATTGTTGAATGTCTGTACATACTAGGTCTATTAAAGTTTCACTGTATTCCGTGAAGTGGGTAGGCTCAGTAACACACTGATTTAATTTATAACATTGTAAAAAATTTTCAACTTCTTACAGTTATTATCCATATCATTTAGTAAATTTATATTGAAATTGCCTAATAAAACCACATTATTACACCATGATAATGTTCCGAAAGTTTCCGATAAAGCATCGAAAAAAATGTCAACACTCAACCACGGCGGCCTGTAAGCAGTACCAATTATTAATTTTGTACCGTTAATTGTTATGCAAGCCACATGTGCTCTACGAGTGGGGCTGGGGGGTGCGGTAGTGTGCGGACTGCAATGCCCCGACGTATGTAGAAGCCCACTCCACCTCCGCGCGAGCGCACGTCGGAAGGGCGAGGAACGTGACGTAATCTATAACTGGGCACCGCAGGCGAGCACCCCTCTTCACCCTCTCGCAAACAGGTTTCATTAATCGCCATTATGTCGACAGAATAACGATCCATAGCTACGAGAAATTCGTCATGTCCTGTACCAAGCGATCCCACATTAAGTAAGCCTAACTTAAGATTATGTTTACGACACACGATCATAACAGCAGCGTACACACCGTCTCCGCATATATTATTCGAATAAAATAGTAAAGGTGCATAAAAAGAAAAACTTTTGTGAAAAAAGTGTATATAGTGACCTGTGGATTATGTGACAGTGTTTGTGACTCCATACAATTAGATATTATGGTGTATTTTGTAGTAAATAGTGTAAGACTAGATCTTAATAAGGTCCTACATGATAAAAAATTAACAGTGATTAACAGTGTTTAGTGGAAGAGAGACTATTTTTAAATTCAAGAATCGTAACGGAAACTTTCTAGTATACTAAGCGGCTCATTTATGAAACGACACAGTGAACTTTGGACCAGATCGCTCGTGAATCAAACATCAATCGTGAATAAGACTACAAAATTTAATTGCATCTGCATTACCATCGTGGTGTATTGGTTTCGAGAACCTACTTGGAACGCTCTGTAACAGAGTTCTAATTCAACACATTTTTTTTCATATAATTTTAATTAATATAAGAATACATATATATAAAAGAGTAAAATATATGACAAAAATATGGCATCCACGTCGAAAAAAATTGCTTTATATGCCAAATGTAATATAATTATAGAAAATAATGAATATCTAATATGCACTTTATGTAAGAAAAAATATGATATTCAATGTGCGAATGTGTCAGCAAAAAGGTTTTATCTAATGAGCAAAAGTAGCAAAAGCTAATGAAATGTAAATCATGTCTAAATAATAAGAATAAGCTAGTAGACGATTCACCGGTCTCTTTGAATTTGGTAAAATATGACAAAACAAAAATAATTGAACAAAATATAACAGTAAGAAAACAAAACTTTAGTAATAATCGATCAACGGACAACTGTACAGTAGTAGAAGAATTGATGACATTAACAGTTCTACCCCTAACGAAACTATTCAAAGCCTTCCCAACATGTCATTAATGGATAATTCAACCATAACTGAAATGAAATGCGAAATAGAATATTAAAAATGCAACTAGAAAGTGCACATGCAGAAATTGCCGAACTTAACATTGAAACAACAAATTTAAAAAAATCGAGGACAATAAAAAACAAATGGGTGTTTATGTCAAACTTTTGAATGTAAATACACCCAAGAAGGGCACTCCCAAAAAACGTTCCAATATTATTTTAAATAAAAAGAAGCCGGATTATGATGTTGTTACTGAATCGCCCACCACGCCCGTTTCCGAATTTAAGAATCAGAGTGCTACGAAATGCTTACAAGAGAAGTTGAAAAATGAGACTTTAAATGTTAAGGACATTAAGCAAGATACATCAAAAATCGGGAACAATAAACAAGAGATTTGTAACGAAGGTATAAAAAAATATCACCAATAACAGTAAAACGCAACATAAGCAAAAAATTAACAAATAGTGAAAAAAAAATATATCCTTGGCGATGAACAGGCACGAGGACTATCGCTATAAATTAGAGATTCACGAATAAACACGTGGAACGATAACTATGATGTGTTATCTATAATTAAGCCTAACGCGACATCTTCAGATATTTTATCATATTGTAACATCTTAAAAAATGTGTTGAGTAACGAGAGAGTTATACTTATAATGGGACAGAATGAAACAAACCCATTTAAACTGTCTAGTGAGGTAAACGTAGCTTTAGAGAAATTAAAATTTG